GCAAACGTTTCATTACCCGGCTAGGTAACATCTTCAGTGCTAAAATGGGATGAGGTTTGCTCTCTATTTATCTGCTGTGGCCTGCTTTGCCAGTGCTGGCGGGTCTGGGGGTTTTGTTTTGCTTTCCTGGTAGTTCATTGATTAGCATATGTTGACTGCTTGATTGTGTGCCTGGTGGTGACCTTTGCTTATCTGGGTGATGATTGCTGGAGATGACTGCTGGTGATTGAATTCTGGTGAGGTGATCTTCTGATCTTTTGTCTCTTTTGAATAGTATGTAGATGCTGTTAATCTCTATGTGTATGTTAATTGCTGCCTTGTCTGAATACCAGGCTTCCAAGAATTCTCTTGAGTAGTTGGATTTAGCTTGGTCTAAGATGTTGACAGTTTCCCAGTTAAAACTGTGGTTGAGTCTGTCCATGTGTTGTGCAATTAAGGAATTTTCAAAAGGGACAAAAGATCAGAAGATCGCCTATAACAACATTAACTATAACATTCTTCTGGACAAAACCTGTGTTTGGAATTCTGAGGCAGATGATTACACTCATTCAGTTCTTACTTGCATGGCCATTGCTGGATGATTACACTAAATTGTGTGGCAATTAAAATATTTGGTTCTGCTAACCCTAATCCTAACTCTTACCTTTTTCCATTTTATTCCCCAGTGGTGTTTAACATTAATATAAAGTGAGGGGGGCTGTAATTAAGGAATTTGGACAGCCATCAGCCCCTAAGTGTTCTCCCTCTGCCTTCTGAACCCAGGATCATTGTTTTATTGAGATGAAATGGCAGAAAAGGTGTGAAGAAAGAAAAAATAATAATCTGCCTATAATAAAATAATAAAAAATAATAATCTGCTCCTTCCCATAGGAAGGAGCCTATGTTCCGATCTACAAGGCAGAGAAGTGTCTGTACTTCTTCATCCTGCTGGTGTTAGTGGGTTATCATTCAGTGACCCACATAGCCCACTACCTGTAAAGAATAAGAGATGACTTTGATGGAGATATGCACGATCCATTGCCAGGATGATGAAGGGTGAAACATATTTTAAGTTTACAACTGACTCCCTAAGCAGCTGTGACAGACACCTCCCTAATTCACTGAACTGTAAGTAGGAGGAAGGGGTACAACATAATCGGACAAGATTTTGTTATAGCCATTCTCAGTAAAAGTAGTTTTAGCCTTCCTGTGATTTCTTAGTCTGGTCTACATAGTGGAGCTGCTACTACCATCCTACCTGATAGACTGGAAGAACTGCCATCAGACCACTGTGATGCACTGCACATTTTGGCAATATGTTATGCACAATGTTTGCCACTGTGATATATTGAGCAACATTTTTGTCAGCCTGAGGACTCTGATGGTAGATAGTAGACTCTGATGGTAGAGTGCTCTCTAGTGTGAATTCATCCACCTGTGAATTGGACCCATGCCCTCTTGGCTTCTGCATGGGTGGAGAGAGATGTAAGAAACTGGATCCAGTGTCTCATTGGAGGAGTCATGAAGAAGACAGTGATATAACTCCTTCCTAAGATGCTTTCCTTGGAACCATCAATTTTAGACAACTACCATCTGGACCCCAATCTTCCCTTTTTAAGGAAAGCTGTTGAGAAGATGGTGAGGCTTCAGTTGCAGACTGCCCATAAGAGGCTAAGTATGGGGACCCATTTCAGTCAAGGTTCAGGCCCAGACAAGGGATGAAAACAACATTACTCATCCTAGTGGATGCCCCTCATCAGCACTTGGATGAGGGGGAGTGTGTTCCTCGTTTCTTTCATTTGCATTGCTTATTGCTGGATCTTGATAAAACAATGGCAGATGTATCTGTGTGTTGCTGGCGCCATGAATTATTGGGCTTCTTTTATTAGTCATTCTTTTCCACTTGCTTTTCAGTGACTCATCACCCTTCATTACATCTTCTTTTGTTAGTTAAACTCATTAGAGGGCTTGGACTATCAGAATTTTGGCAAATTTCGGAAGACAGGAAACCCAACCCACTCTAACCCAGCCTTTTCCATTTTTCTGTCTCCTTCTGGACACTTTTTTGCCTAACCTTTTTTCAGGAAGGATTACCTCATTTAGCAATACTTTTGCCTCAGGGCAGAAATCTTCTATAAAAGGTAAGCCTCAGTTGTCTCAATTCATAGCTGAAATCACTCAAGAGAACTACAAAGAGCGACAGCCAGCCCTGACCTTTTCTCCTCACTTGCCAGTCATTTGCTTATCTCAGAGAGAAAGATCTTTGACACACCTGGAGCCTGATTCCTCTCAGCAGTCTGGACTTTAGCTCAGTGAGTGGAAGAAGTCTGTCAGGGCGTCTACTAAGTTGAACTTGCAGTTACAGCCCCAAGGGGCCTTACAGGAGCTGAACAAACCTCCTGTAACACATTGCCTTTATAAAGTTTGAAAGCACAGACTTCTTCCATCTCTACAAGCAAACCTGCTGAGTTGGGTTTCACAGCCTGGAAAAGTTAGCCAGGTTCTGGTTGGATCCAGAATCAGACAAAGTAATAGTACACCAATAAGCACCCTTGGAATTGATCTGAGTTACCAGCTCCAGGAGAATCGTGGCTTCAGAAAGCCTAGGAGCACATCAAACAGACCTAGGCAAACAGTATCAGCAATAACAATAGCAATAGGACTTCCTATCTTCCTTCCCATCTAACTGTTGGAGGAACCATCTAACACCAACCTTCAAGACCAGGACCATGCAAGCAGTTCAGCACTGAAAAGGAAAGGTGATTATTTTTCCTTCTCTCTGTCCCTCTTTTATACAGATTTTGTTTTATTCTCCATTAACTAGGTTAAATAGATCCTGTACAAAAGATACTCCTCCCTTAGTATATGTTATGCCTGTGACTATGGAATGCTATATCTTGTAAATTTCTCTCCTTCATTGCTGTATCAGAAAGCCTAAAATATTCTGGCTTTTGTTGTGGCAAGAGTCTGTTTCTTTTTCTGCTTTCTCCTTCTAGAATTGAGCACTCTGTAAAGTAAATAACTTTCTGAAACCTCCTCCAGTTTCCTTGTCACTCTCTGAACTCCTTCATCTTTCTCTCACTGAACAAAATAGTGGGGTGAATTCTCCATATAGATGATTAACTGCCTCTTATTTGTTTGCCTTAGATGCCATGAGCCTCAAACATTCTTTGGGCTACCTCCCAGATACATTATTAACTGTTTATTATTTGATTGCTGTATATATCATTAATCTCATTATTTAAAATTGTATTGATTATTAATTACAGTTTCATTTTTGGATGTTGGAAATGCAGAAGCCTGGTTAATAACCTATATTATCATGAGAGAATTGATTCTGTGGGGAGGCCCCAGTTTATAATAGGGGGAAAGGGTTCTCTAGTCTGTTCTTCGAGCTTTCATAGTCTTCTGAGGCATGTAGTTCCATAACAAAGCATGCCCTTTTCCAGTTCTTCTTCCTCCAGTGACAAAACTGGACTACTGTAGAATACTTTACATGGCACTGAGGTGGGAAGAGAATGCTTGGAATTAGGTTTCCAAAAGAAGTTGATTCTAATGAACAGATTAATCGGTTCTGAAATTTGCTATCAAGCCATGTTCAAGGAGCTTGTATCACCATACAGTATATGGTTTAGGATTGTTCTTAACACATTCATAAAAATGAAATCCTTTTCCTGTTCAGTTATAGCAGAACCTTATCTGCTTACACAAGCTTTCAGCTGAATCTATGCTGTTGTGTCTCTTGTTCTTATTCAATATTTTAATTAGTTGTATAAGCTTGTTGTTACATTGTGGTTTCTAAATCTATTTTGTACCTTATTTGGGGATGATGCTCATAAAAAAAGTGGGCACCCAATTTCATACATAAATAAATATTAATTATTATCAGCAGGTGAGGGAAAATAAAAACAGTCTTGATAGTGGAGGCTGAGATAACAAAGTCTGCATGTCTGGAAAACCAGTTCTGAGAGTCAAAAGGCTCTGACTCATTTTGCCAGTGCCACAGGGAAGCAGGATAAAATGGAAGCTTCTATATACTCTAAATTCCCCATAAAAGTTTATGACATCATAATGGGAAACCATCTTGTAATTTGGAGATTTGGAGATTTTAATGAGAACTATACTCTCATATATATGAAAATTCCATAGTTTAGATCCCAACACAATTTCTAAGAATCTAGGAAGTTCCACTCTCATATAGAATTCTGATCATTCATTCATTCACTCACTCACTCATTCATTCATTCATAGACTGCTGATTCTCCCTCTCTCAAAATGTGACCTAGAAGCCCTAAGGGTGTGCGATCTCCTTACATCCTTCAGGCCTATGCCATTGAATTAGAGCTGCCATACTGAGGACCAACATGAGAACTAGGGTCCTATCCATATTCCTTTGAAAACAAGTACAATTCTCCTTGAACTTGTAAAACCTGATAAAGCAATCCATCTTTGCAATGAGAATTCTACTCATTCCCTCATGAAGTCAGCACCTGCATTCAAAGTTCATCACTTGTCTTCAACACTATCAACATAGCACAGGTTATTGATGTTTCTTCCTCTAGTTTTAAAACTACACTCTTCTTCCAGCAGCCTTGTCTCACTCTTTTACTGACAGAGGCAGCTGTTTTGCTATGTTCCATCTGTACTGTGGCTTTCTGACCCATGTATAGATTTTTCATGAGGAAGATATATTCTGGGGGTTCCCATTTATCTAAGTACATTCCACAGCTTGAATACCTTTCTATAATAGGTATTCAAGCAGATATTAACTTTTTTGGGTATTATTTGACTCTCTTAATTATCCAGCATTATTAGCAATAATGTCTCATGTTTCTAAAGCAAGCTAGAACTTTTCTTATCTCTATGTAGTGCTTTAATTTTTGTGGGATGATCCTAAGCATTATTTGATAGCATGTGAAATTAAGGATATTGTATGATAGCTTTCACACTCTGTTAAGTCTCCTTGTATTGGAATGTAGATTGACCTCTTCCTGCCCACTGTATCATTCTCCAGATTTGCTGGCATAGCTTGGTTAGAACCTTTACTGATGCTTCTTCTGTTCCTTGCCGTATTTCAGTAGATACTCCATCAATTCCTGTAGCCTTCCAGCTTGGTAATGACCAAAGTGCTGATCTAATTATCATCTAATACTAGAGATTCTTGTAAGTAGGGAATATCTTCTAAGATATAAGGCAAGCATCCGCTGACAACTCTATTGTACAGAATGTCAGTATCCTCCTTCCATCTTTGCTTGATCTTCTTGGAATCAGTTATTGTCTGTCCATTGGTGTCCTTTAGAGTATCAAATTGGGGTTTGAACCTCTTTCTGAGTTCAGAGATTTTTTTGGAAGACTTTCCTTGTTTTTCCATGTTTGTTTCCATCTTAGATGTCTTTAAAGATGTTGTTTTAATATTGCTTGTTGTCTCTTCCAACAGCTTTCTGAAATTCTTTCTTAAGTTCCTTCCTGAGATCTTTGTCTTTCTTGACTTTGGCTTCTCTTCTCTTCTTGGCAATTTCTAGTTTGTTCTGACATCCAGTTTGCTTTCTTCTGTTTCCTGATCTCTGGCAGTCTCTTTTCACATTCATCCTTAACAACTTCTTTAAGTTCATTCCATAGTTCCTCTGGTTCCCAGTCAATGAGGTTCAGGACTTCAAAGCAATCCCTGATGTTATCCTTGAAAATGCTGGGGATATGCTCATGTTCATATCATAGAAACTGGTTGGCTTTCTTCTTCCACTTTAGTTTTTGAACTTGCACATGAGCAATTCATGTTCTGTTCCACAGTCAACTCTGCCCACACCTTTGCTGTTATAACTGAGCTATTATTCTACCATTAATACAGTCAATTTAATTTCTGTATATTCCTGTCTATATATGTAGGAATTGTTTGGGTTGTATGAAGACTGTGTTAGCAACAATCACTGGATTGACAGAAATTTGTAGATTGTTTTCCTGCTTCATTTCAGTTTCCTAAGTCATGCAGTCCAACTACTTTTTCCTCCTTAATATTTCCAATGTTAGTATTCCAGTCTCAAACCACAAACAGCAAATCTTGTTTGCATGTTCTGTCTATTTCAAATCAAACTTGATAATAAAACTCATCAACTTTCTCTTCTTCTGCATCAGTGGTTGGAACATGAACTTCTATAATTATCATATTAAAGGGTTGTCCATGATGTCTAATTGATATTGTTCAGTCATTGATTTCATTTTAGCCAAGCACTCTGCTTGCTGTAATCTTTTTAACTATGTAAACAACACTGTTCCTTCTTTGTTTTTCATGTCCTGAGTAAACAGTGATCTCCTGACTGAAAGTGTCTAATTGCACTCCATCTCAGTTTGCTGTTGCCTAAGATGTCAATGTGTAGTCAATTAATTTTATCTTTCACTGGGTCGACCTTTCCCATGTTCATGCTTCTTACACTCCATGTTGCCATTCTAATTCTGTTTTTGCAGCTTTTCCTGCATGGCAACATCAGCAACTAGATATCCCAAAGACTTCAGTTTAGCCACTAAACACTGGTAATACTCTGCAAGACCCTCAGCTCTTCTTCAGCTATATGTTGAGAGCCATCCAACCTGAAGTGTCCATCATCCAGGACATTATCTTAGATGCCATCTATTTTAATTAATAATTTAAAAAGTATTTGTATTTTAGATCTTGTTGCCTGTATTAGAGTTGTATTTTATCCTGCTTTTAATACATGTGAAAACAGACCTTTTAAAATCCATTTCATAGTAATAGGTTCAGTTATTTCCATTTCTCTAATTTAGAATACATTCTGGATTCCCAGTGAGGTCACTCTAAAACCATAATGTAAATGCTTGCATTGCCTGGAAGAAAATTAAGCAGGAAAGGAAATTCCTGTTGCATAGTATAAATGTCAGTCTAATAATCCTATTTCCTCTCTGAGAATTATTAGGGACTCCCAATTTTTACATAGTGTTTCTTCTGTATTTAAATTTTTATTGCTTGCAAAAAGGGAACTTATTCCATATGTTGTAATTCTGTGGCCCTGTGGTTTAAGCCAAATGTTTTTCTGGTTTCAGAATTTAAGCATATATAAGGCAAGCAGTGTTTATATAGAACTCAGTTCAGTGAAGCTACACTACTATTGGCAATAGCTAGCATAGCTGAAAAGGTAAGAATGTATTTATTTTTCTTCCAGTTAAACTTCTACCAGGATAGGAGCAAGTGGCTCTTTCAGGCAGAAAGGAAGTAATAGATGGCAAACTACAGGCCTTTACTGTTCAGTGTATTTGTAAATTATTTGATGAGAGATTATAAAATATGATTATCAAATGTGTAGATGATGTAATAATAGTAAGGATAGCAAACACTTTAGGGGACATTATCAGGATTCAGGAAGATTTGACAAACTGGAGCAATGGGTGGAAACCAGCAAGATTAATTTCAATAGGGACAAATACAGAATCCTTCATCTGGACAGGAAAAAATCAAAGGCATGAGTATAGGATGGGAGGCAAAACCACGAGCAGTATATGTGAAAAAGATCTGAGGGTCTTGGTAGATCATAGTTGTGGTGATGCAGCTCTTTGAGGAAAACATGCCCAGGAGAGCAACCAAGATAATAAAGAGCTTAGAGGGAAAACCTTACAAGGTATGATTAGAGATTAGAGATGTTGAGTATGTTTAGCTTAGTGAAGAGAAGACTGTGGGGAGACCCTCTTTAAGCTGTCATGTAACAGATATCGCACACTTTCTCAAAGACAGGACAAGGAACAGTGTGCTTATTTTTCAAGAATGCAGCTTTCTGTTGGACTTCAGGAAAATTGTCCAAACAGAAAGAGTTGTTCAACAACAGAGCATACTTCCTCAGAGTGGTTGAGAGCATACCTCTGTTGGAGGTATTTAAGTAGAGGCTGGATGGTCACCTGTCAAGGTTACTGTAGTTGTGGATTTCTACACCATATAACTTTAATACTGCCTATTAAAACTATTTTTACTTGTAGTCTAGATTTCCATAAATTATCAAGTTTAAGAAAATAGTATGAATCTTTTTGTTTGGTATTAAAAATAAGAGGATCAAAACTTTGGATATTTTTACTTTAGCTACTTTAATGTACACAGGATCATAGAAAATAAGGTTGGAAGGGACTTAAAGGTCCAATCACCAGCCCATTCTATTTTTCCTTCCAGTCTTATTACCTTGATTGTTTTCTCCTGGACACACTCCAGCCTGTTAACATCGTTTCTAAAATGCAGTGCCTAGAACAGAATGCAAGATTCCAGGCATGGTCTGACCAACACAAACTGCTGATCTCTCTTGATTTTGACATTATAAAGTCAGCAGAATATAGGATAATGATGGCTTATCTTTGATTATTTTACTTCTATGATGCCTTGTATTATTGTATTCTTAGATTACAGAACAGATTTTTATCATTGCAGAGTCTATTGTTATTATTCTAAGATGCCTTTTCTTAAACAAATAAAAGGCAGGTCCAATAACAACACAAAGAAAATAGTTAAGCTACATCAATTATTCTACTGTATATATGAAAGAAAGACTAATTTCTTCACTCAAATAATTTAAAATGGGAAAGTCATGTCAGATTTACTGGAAATACAGTAATAAATGTAGATGATTTTTCCCCCATCTAATCTTCGTAGGGGTGGGACAAATAATCTTCTCCTTCTCCTTCTCCTTCTCCTTCTCCTTCTCCTTCTCCTTCTCCTTCTCCTTCTCCTTCTCGCAACTGAAATTATCACAAACTCAATAATTTTCATTTTCTTGGCATCGAGCCTATTCTGTTTGCAACATCAAAGAACCATCGCACTTCCCTGACCATTCAAATATCAGAGGGAAAGGTATAAGTGTATGGTTTCTGAATACTCTGATGCCTCATACTATTTTCAGTCTATCTTGCTTGGTGCAACTCTAGACTCTATAGTTTCCATGATGTAGTTTAACCCTTGTTTTTAGCAACTCACACATTCTATAGGACAATTTTTGCCCATGGCTGTATTAGCCATGAAAATGGTAGTCGGACTTAAGGCTCTGCTTGCTTCTTGCCTTGATTGTAAACAACATTACTTTATTAAATCAAAGATTACTGATCCGAACCAAGAAAACACTTTGCAGGTAAGATCCCAGTTCATAAGATACAAGGGAAGCCAAGATAATTCATAATGTAAGTAAATCAATGAAACTTCTGGATCCCACATTTATAAATATGCAAGCCTCTTAAGCAGTTATAGATGCAATCAGATACAGAATTGCTTTTCCAGTCTTTCTTTTTATTTATTTATTTTTGTTTACAGATGACATTCACCTTATTTATCCTGACGTTTACACTGGCTTTGGTTGCTCACAGAGAAGCAACACAAGAAATGAGAGGAGATGGTATGTCACTGAATTTTTGAATGAAATTTTGAAGTAGTATATTACAATGTATTAATTACTTGATACAGAGCCCACTTTTCTTCCAGGAATTTAAAGTGGCATACATAGTACTCTTCCTCCATTTTTCCCCCACAACAATCCAGTGAGATAGGTTGGAGTGAAACTGCCCTGAAGTCACTAGTAAGCTTCCATGGCTAAGGATAGACTTGAATAAGGGTCTTTTTGACCAACACCATTACTACTACACCACATTAGCTCTTTGTATGGTTATACTGCAGAGGCCCTAGAGCATTTCAAATGCAATCCCAAAGATTTATTTCTCATAAAACTTTACCATACCACATTCTATAAGCCTTGTAATCCTTAGCATAACAAAAAACAAAAACCCTCTCTACAAACATCCTGTGCATCAGAGGGAGTGCTTCATAGGCCGATCATTCCAAATGACGATATTGCTTATATCCATACGTCTCTTTTGAAGAAAATTTTATTTGTTTGTTTGTTTGTATGTTCTTAAAACCAACTCTGGGCAGCTTACAACCAATAAAACAATATAAAACCAGCAACAATAAACTAAAACAGAAAAACCTGGTGCTACCACCACACTTCTCATCTCACTCTGACTTCACCTTATCCAAGCAGCTGAGGGAAGAACCAGGTCTTGAGTGCTGTCTGGAAGGATAGATTTCATGGGGCAGGGTGTTTCATACAGCAGGGGCTGCAATGGAACAGCCATTCCCAGGACCCACAAGGCAGGCTTAACCTTGTTTTGAGGCTCACATTACATGGGCAAAATAGTACATGTCTACTAGGTAGACTACATAATATTTTACAAAGCACTATAAAAATACCCTGGACATTTCAGTAAGACAGGACACCAGAAATAATTCTG